CTGTGTCACTTAGGTCAGCCCCAACCAACAAACAACAATAAATCATTAATAACCATCTAAAATCATACTGGAGTAAACCAAGTGCAGAGGATGGCCTAAAGGTCAGAGGTCGAGAGCCTCAAAGCAACCAAAAAAACAGGGAAAACACTAAACCAACAAAAAAAATGACATTAACATTAAAAACACTCGGAGACAAGCAGAGTCAGAAGCTTCCAGTTACCCGGTCCATCACAGGGTCACATTTATTTTTGTTGGTTAAACACAGAGAAACCCCACACATGCACATTCAAACATAAACAACAAACTCCATACAGAACACCCAGCCAGGAACCTCCCTGCTGCAGGGTCACTAATCAACAGCACCACTGCTGCTTATTTCTACAGCGCAAATATTTCCAATATGACAGCAAACATACAGTTGTGGTCAGAAGTTTACATACACTTGTAAAAAATATAATATAATGGCTCTACTGAGTGTCCCGTTGTTTCTAAAACTCTGATTTTTCTCTGATAGAGTGATTGGAACAGATACTTGTTTGTCACAAAAAACATTCATGAAGTTTGGTTCTTTAATGTCTTTATTATGGGTTAACAGAGAAAAGAGATCACATTTGCTGGGTCACAAATATACATACAGCAGTGCTAATATTTGGTTACATGTCCCTTAGCCATTTTCACTTCAATCAGGCGCTTTTGGTAGCCATCCACAAGCTTCTGGCAAGCTTCTGGTTGAATCTTTGACCACTCCTCTTGACAGAATTGGTGAAGTTCAGTTAAATTTGATGGCTTTCTGACATGGACTTGTTTCTTCAGCACTGTCCACATGTTTTCAATGGGGTTTAAGTCAGGACTTTGGGAAGGCCATTCTAAAACCCTTATTCTAGCCTGATTTAGCCATTCCTTTACCACTTTTGATGTGTGTTTGGGGTCATTGTCCTGTTGGAACACCCAACTCCGCCCTGTGGTTTCTCGTGTCCTGTTTTAGTCTTGTCTTTTGATCGTGGTATTGTTTGTCTGTCTTGTGGGCATCTGGTATCCGCCCTTTGGGGGTGGGGGTACTGTCATGGCCTGTCTGCGTCTCCCTCATGTGTCTCCTTGTGTGCTCCATTCCCCCCTAAGAAGCCCCCTTATGTGTCTCTTTGTGTTCCTCATGTGTCCCCTGGTCTTCAGCCCTCCAGATATTCCCTCCCAAGTCCTGTGTTGCTTCAGTCTCCCCCAGTCACCCCTCTGCAGTTTTTTTTATAGGTTCAGCTTCTCATTTTATCAGTCTCTGTAGCATGTTTTTTCCACAGGTTTTTGTAGTTTCCCTTCCCCTTAGAATATTAGTTTATTTTGCTGTTTATCTTGTCTTTAGATTTTTTACTCTTTACTCTTAGGTCATGTTAGTTTCCTCCCTGATTAGTTAATTGCTTTCACCTGGTTCTCTCTCCACAAACCTGCAGCCCATCTGCCTCCCATCATGCCCCAGTGTATATAAGCCCTGTCTCGTCTCAGTGTCTTGTCGGTCCATTGTTTGTGTTAGCGTTGTTTTTGTGCTCTATGTGAGCTTTGGGTGTCCTGGGTTTTAGGACTTTTGGTTTTTGGCTTCCTGCCCTTTTTGGATTTTTGTTCATCATCCTAAATAAAGGATTTACTTTTAAAATGCTCCTGCCTCGTGTCATCTGGGGTATTCTGCATCTTGGGCCCTAACCTCCTCCTGCTCTCAACGTGACAGCTGCTTGTTTTGATGTATAATTTGTGGGTGTGCATGCTGCCATTTGAGCCACATTAACGTCCGCGGATGTCATGCTTGCCTCGTACGCAACAGCTTTTTACTCTGAGCAGCCATAGCTTTATGCAATTTGGCTTTCAGTTCCTCAATTTCTGTCTTCTGTTCCGTGATCGTTTTCATAAAATTCTGGCTTTCTAACTCCAGGTTGAAACGACCAACAGTATATTTATTCTTGTCTTTTTCATTCATACCATTTAGCAGCGTTTTCACGTGCATTGCTACTGATGTCAAGCCATTTTTAGAGAATTCTTCAGCTAGCTGGTCAAGTTTTCCCTGAACTTCCATTTTCTCTCTGGGAAACAGTTTGATTTCAGATTCAAGTTCCTGAGTTTTCTTTGTTAAATCGCTAATTTCGTCTTTTGCGTTCTGTAGTTCTGTCGCTGTTATTTCAAGCTCCTTGGTAATTTGCTCATTCTCCATTTCTTTAGTTGCTAAGATGCTTGACTGTTGGGCATCTTTATTCAGAGCTGACGACAGTTGCTCCTCTGTGTTTTCTAACTGCATCTTAACTTCCTTCAGCTGGCAAGACAGGGACGATGTCGCCTTGACTAAAGACTCTTTCTCTGTTGAAAGCAGTGCGTTGGAATCTGTAAGTACACTAATTTTCTGTTCCAAACAGTGAATTTGATCCTGAGCTTTAAACAGATTATTTCCATATTCAGTTTTTAGACTTTCAGAAAGTGCGGTTTCATTTAGTTGGAGTTTTGCTCTCGTCTTCCATTTCTTTATTTTGCTATCCTTCTGTTCAATTTGTTCCTTTTTCTCTTGTTCAACATCCCATCGTTTACTGACAGCATTGCCTAATTGAAGATTTAGATTTTGGATTTCTGAGGCATTTTTGTCAAGAAGAATGCGTGTGTGTTCTAATTCTTTAGCAAGCTTTTTATTTTCCTGAGTAATTTCAAAATATTTATCTGGCCATTCATCATTTTTCCTTTTCAGCTGTGTCATTTCTGATAGTAACGTTTTCTTATCTGATTCTAAACGTGTTACATATGCAGTCTTTTTTTTAGCATCAGCTTTCAGTTGGTCGATGTGGCCCATTAAGTCTTTAATCCTATTATTTAACGGAACTTCAACCTTTGTCCTGATGGTCGTTTCCAAGTTTTCACATTTCGTTTCCAAGTCTGTTCTTCTAATTATCTCTTTAGCCAGTGAACATTTCAATATATCCATATCTTTCGATAATGACTCATTTAAAGCTTGAAGTTTTTCATTTTCTTTAGAAAACTCTTCGTTTTGTAATTTTAATTCAGTGTTTGTTTGCACTGAATTGTTTAGTTTTTCCTCAATGGACTTTTGGATTGACGTTTGCTTTTCCAAGTCTTTTTCAAGCCTTTGTTTGACATGTTGGTATTCCTTCTTCAAGGGCTCCAGGCATTTCTCGGTTTCTTCTAGTTTTGCCGTACTCTCTGTCAGCCGAATCATTGCATTAGACAGCTGACTTTTCTCCTTTCTTATTTCCCTTTGAAATCTGGTATTTTTCTTTGTTAAATCGTCCAACTGGTTTTTCCACCCAGTTTCTTTTTCAGATAAAACTTCTTGTAAATTCTTAACTTCTGATGTCAGTTCATTGATTTTGGCTGTGAGTAATTTCTCGTTGGCCTTACTCTGGTCTAATTTAGCCTTCAACTCTGTAAGATTCATCTCACGAGCCATTTTAACTGATGACTTAAGCAGTGGTAAGCGGTTCCTGTAGAGAGCTGTGATGTGATCCGTTTCGTACAACGACCTTAACAGACTGAAGTCTTCTTTCTGATGACGCAACAAAGTAATGCGATAGCTCTTTGATGACGTCACGCTTACGTACGTACGTCCGCGCACGTGCGTGGCGGGGGGAGGGGGGGTGGAACTGCAAGTAGATGCAGCTGTTTGCATCAGCGGGGTTGTTGTTTCCGCATCACGTGACCTGGACGAGCCTTTTGTTTACGTTTTAATCCGTGGTTATTGTGTGTGTGTGTGTGTGTGTGTGTGTGTGTGTGTGTGTGTGTGTGTGTGTGTGTGTGTGTGTGTGCGCGCGCGTGCGCACGTGTGTTTAGTAAGTAGGAGCAGAGTCGGGTAGCAACAGAGAAGTGGACATGAGTAACTTCAGAAGTGAAAGTGTAAGTCAGAGGAACTCACGCACCTGCAGACCTTCTACCTCCGACTAAAACAAACTCAGGCCGACTTTTTCTATCTTTTCATTAACAGTTATTAGTGGACTCCTTCAAAAAGCAGCTGAAAACTGTTCAACCTGGCTTTTGCTCGACCTTCAAGTGACATATGTAGATTTTAACTTTGACTTTGTAGAGATATGGGTCTCTGTGAGTTTGCTTCTGCTGGGAAGTTTATATTTTGCGTCAATAACCCTCACCAACAGCTGAAAATCATGAGTCTCCACTAAGGGCAGAGGCTGGAGGTCCTTCACTACCATCTTGTGAGTGTTATTGCTAAATACACAAACGATGGAGTCGCATGTTATTAAATGCTCCATCTTTCATAGATGAACATTGAGGAGAAAGGTAATGAGAGTTTACGCACCTGTTTTATATCGAATGCTTCGACTTGAATTAAAATTGCCAACACATTATATTATTAAATACATTTGTTTTTATCTACATTGTAAAATGTTCAGTTAACCACCAGTCAAAATATGTCAGCTAACTGAGAATAAAACAATGCAAGTTTGTGAAATTAGTTATTTAAATGGAAAAACGTAATTGATCTGTCGAATTAATGGAATATTTTCTACATTTTTGAAGTCAATCATTATTTTTTTAAATACTGTACATTTACATAATAATTATTTAACAAACTTTACAAATTAATTGGTATGATATGGAATGGTATCTACTGTCACCTGACTAAATATAGGCTTATTCAATGTTTGGGATTTCAGGGGCTGATGATACTTAAGCTCAAATTCATATAGGCAAACACACACACTCTCAACTTTCTCCTTCATTAACTGAATTGTAATTTTTCAACTGAAGGCCAGTTGCAGAAAACAGAAAGCTGCTGAGCTGAAGCAAGATGACATCTTGTTGCAAATGAAAGACAAAGATTGTGTCTTTGGAGGCGAGATCATCCAGAAGCTGTCAGTACACCAGCTTCTGGAGCAGATATACATTTGGAGTACTTATTATTATTATTTTATATTCATAATGAAACATTGTGTGTTTGATTAAGCAATCAATGTTTTTTCTGTCTTGTTTTTGTTTTCAGAAATGAGCCCAACAATGGCATCCGCTACAAGATGTTCAGTGGGAGGATCCTCCACCAGAGGGTAATTGTGAGGCAAGAGGAGCTGAGAGGGAACCAGCTAAACTACAGGTAACCCTAACCCAGGTCCAAATGAGGACTTAACAAGCTCAAACAAGAGATGGCCAAGCTGAGTGAGATTACGTCCTTTTACATAACTGTCATAAATGACATATAAGCTTGTAAAGAGTGAACAGGAATGTTTTTACTGTTCCTTTTATATTGTTTTTAGGAGGACATTTAGCTAAAGTGGCTGCAGTACTTCCTCTGAACTGCACGGCGCTAAAGAGTCACACTTTTTATGATGATTTTAATGGATTTCACACACGTGGCTTTAAAGTCTCTGGTGTGACCCGACTGGGATTTGACCAGAGCCGGATTAACGCAAAGGCAAAGTAGGCACGTGCCTAGGGCCTGATTGGCTGGATGGGGCCCAGACAGAGGGACAAAATAAAAAATTAATTAATTTAAAATTAAATGTACAAATCTCCTATGATATAATTTGTGGATAGGACTCCATCTACAGTTTATTTCAATATTTATTAATTAACTAAAAATAGTGATACTTAGGGCTGTAGCGAAGCCTCGACGAAGTCGACGGCTCGATTCTAAAAATTTGTCGACGTCAGATCCGGAAGTCGACGCACCGCGCCCACTTGTTGCATCCCCAGGAGTTTGTAAATAGAGGAGGAATCTGCCTGTTTTTCCTCTAGTTCGCCCTCTTCTCCGCCTTCACTAACATCTCCGCCAAATACCGAAGACCCGGAACAACGTCCGTCCTCTACTAGATTATTTTCCTGTTTTGCCCGCCTTCGTCTCCCGGCAACGGACAACAACTTCCGGGGTCAGATGCGCTGCTTCGTGTCTATCGCAGATGTAGAAAATCACCGGGAGCGCTTCTCCCTTCATTAAGGAGCTTCTTTCAGACATGAGGAGAGCTGTTTTGGTGGTAGCAGTCTCTCATCCATGCTGGTCTGTTTGCTGCTGGGTGTTTTTGGTTTATTTAAACTTGGTAACTTGAACTTAATGTTGGTAAAGCTACTGTTAGCATCTTCGCTAACAGCTTCTTGCGTTTGGATAAGCTGTTACGTTTTGGTTTAGAGTTCATCTTTTTTGTGGTGTAGATCTCCCTTTTATTACATTTAGAGTGTTGTGGGTTTTCGGTTTAGTGTAAAATATCACCTGAGTTTGGTTTAACCCGTAAGACCACTCGCCTCACGCACATAAGTGACCAAATCAAAGCAGCATGGAGACACTCCATCTTCTACCACCTCTCAGGCAGCAGCCTGCACTCCCAAGTTCTACATGTCACCAGAACATAACCAACCAACACAATAAACGCAGTGTTATACAAAATGGAAGGCCTGTAGTGTTTGTTCTCTTACAGTAAGAATTTATCAATTTTTTTGAGGAATTTAATTGAGATTTTCTGGTTTTTGTTAATTGTGCAATAGAAAAATAATTATTAGATTAATTTTCTAAATAGTCATTAGAATTGTCGACTATTCGATAAAATAATCGTCAGAATAATCGTTTTAAAAATAATCGTTTACCCCCAGCCATAGTGATACTGTTTATCTTAACCATAGACCGTTACATTAGCTACGTCACATTAACGCCAGCCCATGACTGTATTCTACAACTTGGGCGCCACCCAATTAAGGACGTCAGAGAAGCGGTCAGTCAGAGCGGGACACAACAAAGCTAGCAGGTGTTTTTGAGTAGGCTAACTTTCACGATGCTTTCGGGCGCGGCAAAACGTAAAAAGAAAAAAAAATGAAGAGGAACAAAAGAAGAGACGGCGGGGGCCTTACAGAAGTTTCTGTCGGGCTGCTCGGGCAGCCGTCCGACAGCTGTGAACCTGCTCGAGTCAGCAGAGCCAGAGGCCAGACCCAGAGCAGACACAGCCCGAAGATGCGGCGGGAAATGCGGCGGAAGACGCTGTAGCACCAACGCCGTCACAGAAGGGTGAACTGGAAGAAGAGCAGCCAGCCAGAAGTGAGCCCAATCTAGTCTTACAGCAGGAGCCTCTAGACCCAGAAAGGGTGTTAACAAGCTACATCTGATCCTGCAGTGGTACATAACCAAACTGATGACAGGATGCGTGAGTACTTTGCACTAAACCATCCCTCTCAAAATATTGCATATTTCTCTGCATCACAGAGGAAATGTGGAGACACGAACCGAAGCTTAACCAAGGAGCATTTCTTTAGATGTGTTTCTGCTGCGACTGAGGCCTGTGATGCTGGAAGGCTGAAGATTATCCCGGAGTGGAGCGTGCTAAATGGTTTCCTTGGTAACTGTTGCTGGTTTTATTAATTTTTATTTTTAAATATTTTTATTAATGTTCAAATAACAAAACTAACAATAAGTTCACACTCAGAAAATAGACACAGAATTTCTGATTCAGCAGAGGCAACAACAGCCTGAATGAGCATAAAGCAAGATCAAAACTTAAGATAACGTTTTCATTTTATTAAAATACTTTCTTTTAAGATTATAGATTGTATAAAATTTATACTGTAATCATTTAAGCTGCGTGTTTATAGTTTGTTTTTGCGCCTTTAAAACATGCTTCAGTCCATTCAAATGAATCTATTTCTTCTTGAATGTCTTTCCACCATCATGTGATTAATTTGTCAACATTTATAAATGTTGTAAGCTATTGTATTTAGCAGAAAATCTTTTTAATTAAATGTGTTTATTAAATGTAAACAGAGCAAATAAGATGAATATAATTGCTCTGTTTACAGAGTATAATGACACCTAGTGGTTATTTACTGGTACCGCCTTGACATTGACACTCCCAATGGATAAGATGAGGATAATTTATTAGCATTTAACACAGCTGTGTAATGACGTATAATTAACCCTTTGATGCATAATGGTCACTACAGTGGACAGGTACTCAAAATTGTTATTTCTTTATTTTTGCTATTAAGCACAGCTGTTGAAGACTTTATTGCATGTGAGCCCCTCCATTTGAGCTTCAGCAAGTCGAGCCAACATATTTCAATATATATATAAAATGCAGCCTGCCTAGTGTAGTCCATTTATTTAATCCAGCTCTCTGTGTGTGTGTGTGTGTGTGTGTGTGTGTGTGTGTGTGTGTGTGTGTGTGTGTGTGTGTGTGTGTGTGTGTGTGTGTGTGCGTGCGTGCGTGCGCACGCACGTGTGTTTAGTAAGTAGGAGCAGAGTCGGGTAGCAACAGAGAAGTGGACATGAGTAACTTCAGAAGTGAAAGTGTAAGTCAGAGGAACTCACGCACCTGCAGACCTTCTACCTCCGACTAAAACAAACTCAGGCCGACTTTTTCTATCTTTTCATTAACAGTTATTAGTGGACTCCTTCAAAAAGCAGCTGAAAACTGTTCAACCTGGCTTTTGCTCGACCTTCAAGTGACATATGTAGATTTTAACTTTGACTTTGTAGAGATATGGGTCTCTGTGAGTTGAGAGGGTGCTCGCTACACAACCACAAAGGTGGAGCTGCACCAGAGTCAGCCCCGCCCATCACGCAAACAGCAAAAAAAGATTTTAACAGGTGTTGGTTTGACTCCTCCTCCACAGACGATTAGTCAAATCCTAAACAAGGATGATACCCAAGAGACAAATGCACAATCTGAGTGTTTTATGTTGCACTCAGTTCAAGTTGAGCCAGTAAAAAAACATGGCTAAGGTCAAAGTTTATTGAAGATATCAACACGACTTTAGTGCACTACACTTTTTAAAAAACCTGAAATGCCACCAAAATTCACAATGAACAGCAACACATTTTACCATAAGATCTGTTTTATTTTTGCTTCAATATTATTGGTTGTGCCTTTATGTTTAATAAAAATGTTGTCATCTCATTGCTCGTGAGCTAAAGTATATCTTATCACATGATCAGAAACCTCATTCATGCTCCTGGGCTGACTCACTCTTGCAGAAACTTTTTTCTTCCATCATCAGCGTGGGATTTAGATTTCTATCAGGATCCTTCGAGCAGCCTCTCGTTAAGCCCCACTTGAAGTTGGTCTTTGTCGTTGTGTTTTTAAGTCTGTAAAAGAGGAAAACGGTCTCCCAAGTTTTTATTTGATAGATGTATTTTTTTTTTCTGAACAAGACCAAACATTGGCAGGAAGGGATTTTGATCGTTTACAGGTAGGAAATCTATGAAATATATATATTTTTGCAAGTGATATTTCATGCAAGAAAAAACATCAGTAATACATTTCATTATAACATTTTGGTCACTTTTCATTTTTTATTGTTTATTTTAATCTGTCGTGCAATTTTAATGCACAGTCAGGAAATTTCAAAGACTTGTGAAATCCATACAATGAAAATGCAGTTTTCCAGTTAGTATAGTTCAAGAGAGCATTTGTAATGTAAGCACTTTGTAATGGATCTTTATATTCCAGCTTAAGTTCACTTATTGCAGAGTTGTTAGATGAGAACACAGTAATCACGTGTATTGCTACGTTGAGATTGGGCACCATCTGCTGGTTCAAAGCATTGTTACAGTCTTAAAATATGAAAAAGATGCACAAAATCTTAATATGTTAGTTGTTTGATTGTCAAATAAATCAGGAATTACAATGAAAAATATAATGTTTTTTTATTGTTTGGGTTTAAATGCTCCCAGACTGATTAGATATTTTTGTTTATTTGTTCTGCCTGATATACTTTTCTTCATTTTAGTTTTTGTCTTCTCTTTATAGCCTAAAATAAACCAAAATTTTGTTGAAAATGTCATTTTTGTTGCATATTTTATTGTTGATTAATTTTAAATGTGGTCAGACACATAGGGTCAGACACATGTTCTGTATATTTTACCCAGGTTGATGGAGTGGAACGATTTTCATTTGATCAAATATATTGATGACCAACTGGAAACAAACTTTTGCAATCCTTAAAAGTTATAGGACAGGTGACAATTCAGGTTTTTTCAACCCCACTAACAGCTAGTGGTATCAAATTGAGACACAGTTGATTGAAATAATGTTTTATGGAATTTTGTTGTGAGGATTATTATTATGCATTTATTATTTATTCATTTTTTTGTCTTGAGTTTCTGGGTTTATTTGAAATGTGCAGTGGAGCAAAAAAGTAATTGACAGCCCCTGATTGTGCAAGGTGTCCCACTTAAAAAGATAAGAAATCTGTAATTTTCATCAAAGGCACACCTCAATTGATAGACAGAATGTGAATAATCCATTTTAATGAATTTATTATATAATGGTGCAGAAAATAAGTACTTAGCACCAAGAAACAAGCAAGAATCTTGGCCCTCACAGACCTGTAACTTCTTTTTTTAAGAACCTGTTTGATCTCCTTATCAGATACCTGTCCACATCTTCAAATAGAACAACTCTGATCTCCACAATTGCCAACACCAGAGAGCTGTCTAAGGACACCAGGCACAATATTGTGCATATGCACAAGACTGGGATGAGCCAATCTACAATAGGCAAGCAGGTTGGTGAGAGGAGATCAGCGGTTGGAGCAATTATTAGAAAATGGAATAAATGGCAATCTTCTTCGATCTGGGCTCCATGCAAGATCGCACTTCATGGAGTGCAAATGATTTTGAGAATGGTGAAGAAACAGCCCAGAACTACATGGAGCAAACTGGTCCTAAATGGAGCTAAGACCACAGAAACAATAGTTACTATTTGCCCGGTGACGGCCCCAAATGATCACAGCTCGGGCGGTAATGGTCAGCAATTCAGCGGGAGCGGGCAGGAGCGGGATGAAGAAAACAGTCCCGCGCAGGGCTCTACCTCCAACCACTAAAAACAATGAATAAAAAGAAAACGTGGGTTTCCGGAATCGTGCAGCACAAGGGACACAGACTTACTACTGTACAGCCGGTGTTTCACAATATTGAACACATACTGAATATTGCATTGACGTTATTGTGAAACAGGGTAATGCCAGTAATAGGTAAACTGAGGAGTTAAACATTCTTACTGTAGAAGGGATGAAAGACCCACGGCAGCATTCTGTTTTACATCTGGGATGTCTCAGCCTCCCACTGAAGGAGCTGTCCATGGTCTCCACAGTGGAATGCAAGTGGGTGGAAAGGGTTTTCCAAGATGGAGCTAATCTTCCCCAGCATCCTCCTTTCACACTTCTCCTTTAACTGAATCCAGTGGGCGGCCCAGAACCGAGCTGCCAAGGTTACGTTACAAAGTACTGAGGTGAACTGTAATGGCTGCAGGCAGCAATGTTGCCTATACTGTAGAATCTCTTAGTCTAGAGCAGTGGTTCCTAACCTGGGGGTCCCGACCCCCACAAGGGGGCGCCAAAGCCTCTCAGTGGGTCGCCAGGACCTCTCCACTTTAAGGGGTTAAAACTTAATTTATTACTTGTTTATAGCCTACATTTTGCTCACACTTTTTTCATGAGTGAAAAGTTTACTGATATTAAGACAGGAAATAATTAGTACAGAAAAAGTAACACACTTTTAAGAGCATGTTGCTCAGCTCACTGTTTTATTTTCAAGTGTCAAAAGTTCATTAAAGATAGGACTGGTTGATTAATCACAGCCTTTACAGTAAATAATCTAGTATAAACAGTAATATACACATTTAAGTACATTTTGCTCAGTGTATTTTTTATGTGTCAAATGTTTATTGAAAGGAATGATTGATTTATCAGTGTTTACAAGAAACAATGTGTTCAGGAAAGTAATACAAACTGTCAAGCACATTATGCTCTGTTTGGTTTTGTTAATGACTTTGTTCTGTACTGGAGCCTACTATTACTGTTATCTATCGAATCAAAGCATATTAAAATGTGCTTGAACAATTTTATCGTTTCTTAATAATGTTTGTACTGGAAGAGAGAATGGGGGGGTGTCGTCAAAAATTTTACTGGTAAAAAACGGGTCCCTTGGGAAAAAGGTTGGGAACCACTGGTCTAGAGTACTGTTAAATTTAAAAAACAGCGCTTCTTTCCAACTAATATTAACTGTTTTATTTTATTTTTTCAGAGGAATGGACCTTCCCCTCTTCATGACTATGCTGCTTTATGCAGTAACCCTCAATGTTTTTGGTGCTTTTGGAATCAGTGAGCTGAACAACGGACACAGATGGACTTGCCAGAACCTGCCAGGTCTGCTAGTGACCGAAACAGCTGCTCTAAATGAAAGTTTGTTCAGAGGGACGGAGAAGAACGGGGTAGAAGGAGAAACAAGGGTATTTTGTGGCATCGAGTGTCAAAGTGCTCTACCACCAACTAACCAGGTGGAGCAAAAGAGGATTCTGGGATATGAGACGATGTATGAAAATGGCTCACGTACGCACACAGACATCAGTTTGCAGTGTTTGGACAAGACACCAGCAGGAACTCCTGCAAGCGCAACAGTTTCAGTCCGCAGGAAACGGCAAGTTTATGGTGCAGATGGGCGATTTGTGATCTCAGATTCCAACTTCATCACCAACTACCCGTTTTCTACCGCGGTCCGTCTCTCCACAGGTTGTTCTGGAGTTCTGGTTTCTCCAAAACATGTGTTAACAGCAGCACATTGTATCCACGATGGCAGGGACTATTTAGAAAGTGCAAGACATCTTAAAGTAGGCTTGTTGCAGCTGAAAACAAGAAGAAGGAGGATGGGAAGGAAGAGAAGATGGAGACAAAGAGATGGTTTGAAACAAAACGACAAACAAGACAAGAGGGAAAATGAGGAGGGAGGTGAGAAGAATAATCTAGGAGTGAAAGAAAGAAGAGGGGGTGAAAAGAGAAGAGACAGACTGAGGAGAGGAGGAAAACAAGATGGAAAAAAGGAGTTTGAGAGAGGAGTGGGTGGAAAGAACAGTCTCAGTCGTATTCGCCGCAGCAATGGACCAGGAAAGCAGTCTGTCTTCCGTTGGTCTCGAGTTAAAAAAACCCAAATTCCTCAAGGATGGATCCACACCAACAATGTGACAGACGCTGTGTCCATCGACTACAATTACGCTCTCCTGGAGCTGAAACGACCAGTCAAGCAAAAGTTCATGGAGCTCGGCGTGGCGCCCAAGTCACCTCTGGCACGGATCCATTTCTCAGGCTACGACACAGACAAAAGCCTTCCTGATGGACATGCAGAGAAGAAGGTTGTTTATCGTTTCTGCTCAGTTGTGAAGGAGTCTGGTGATTTGATGTACCAGCACTGTGATGCACGGCGTGGGGCGACGGGGGCAGGTGTTTATATCCGCCTCAGAAGGGATAAGGAACACGAGAGCGGGAAAGGAAAGTGGAAGAGGAGGGTGATTGGGGTGTTTACAGGTCATCAGTGGGTGGAGGCCGAGGGGGGCGAGCAGAGGGACTTTAATGTTGCGGTACGGATCACATCTTCTAAATATGCCCAGATTTGCCACTGGATTCACGGAGACCCAAGACTTTGTAAAGAGGTTTGATCTCAAAAAGCAGCAAGACAAAGATCTGTCCTTACCCTCAGAGAAAAACTAAAAAAAAATCCGAAATCATGCATTAAAAAATTTGAAAGAAAATAAAACAAACAGAATTAAAAGTTTATTTTAGGCGGAGAACTAAAAACTCCACAGTCCACCTGTTTTTACTTGTATAACTCAAACGGTTAAACCCTTTCAAATGTTTCTATGGTTACTTTGACAAAGATGTAAATTCTATAACATTCTCTCAAATTTACAAGACTCAGGCAACAATGACGTAAAGCAACATTTTAAGATTTTTTTCATGTGTCATAAAACTTTTGTGCTGTAATAAAATCAAATTAAATCTTTCTCTGAAATTATTTGGGAGCTTGAAAAAGAAAGAGAGTTGTTGCTCTATTGCGTTTATGGGCTTAAGTAGAAAAAGGTAATGATGAGTCTTGAGAGATGTGTCAAAACTAGTCCACCGGGGGGGGCAAATATGGATGTTTTGGGGGTGTTTTATTGACACCATTTACATGAAGGGTTTTCTGTATTTATTTATTTCCATCCATCTATTGTCTGAACCCGCTTTGTCCACGTAGGGTCGTGGGGGGAGCTGGTGCCTATCTCCAGGGGTCAATGGGCAATCAGGCGAAGTACACACACGACAAACAATCACACACACACTCACACCTAAGGACAATTTAGACAGACCAATTAACCTAACAGTCGTGTTTTTGGACCGTGGGAGGAAGCCGGAGTACCCGGAGAGAACCCACGCATGCACAGGGAGAACATGCAAACTCCATGCAGAAAGATCCCAGGCCGGGAAACGAACCCAGGACCTTCTTGCAGCAAGGCAACAGCTCTAACTACTGCACCACTGCGCAGCCCTATTCATTCGTTCGTTCGTTCGTTCGTTCGTTCGTTCGTTCGTTCGTTCGTTCATTCATCAGCTTATATTTTAGGCGGACAACACCACTTCAGATGAAACATCTTGTTTACGAGTCAGTCCTCCTACCATAGAGAAATAAAATACAAGAAGACAGAGGCAGTACACTGCAAAGGTGTAGCTACAAGTTCTGCTAAATTAATCTCTTTATGTCTATGTACCGTAATTTCTGGACTATAGAGTGCACCTCAATATAAGCCGCACCAACAAAAAAAAAGGTTTTCCACACACACACACACACACACACACACGCCGCACTCGAATACAAGCCGCGGCGCAGCAGCCACATGCAGGTCTCCGGCGCACAGCGCATGTACGGCCATGACGTAAGATAATCAGACAGAAAGACGCTACACGGAGGGTTTTCGTTGTTTTAATTCAACAAAAGGAATTTTAAACACGGGTGAACGTGCCTGCAAGTGTAGAAAAGAAAACAGCGCTGATAGCATTCATATTTCTGGATGTTATAAAATAAAAACAGCACTGACACATTATTACCGGTCATTTGCATGTTTAGAAGAAAAGAACAGCGCTGACACAGCATTAATAAGCCCTGGATGGTTAGAAAATAAAAACTGCACACAAAACATGCCTGGTTAGTAAATAAAACACTCTTGTCTACCAGAAGAAGTCATTCGCTCTCATCTTCCTCTTGCGCACTAAAGCCATTAAAGTCCTCTTCTTCAGTGTCGGAGTTGAACAGCCTCAGAAGAGCTTCGTCACATACCTTTTCTGTGGCGATGTCAGTGTCGCTGTCCGTGTTGCTGTCATCATCCCCGGGTGAAGCTGGCTTGAATGAGTTCTTCCCGCTGCCGTCTCCAGCGCCGAACCATGGATTCATTCATGCCAAGCTTACGTGCGGCAGCGCTGTAATCTTATCTTTACAGTACGCTCTAATGGGAAACAGGCTTCAACACAAACGGTTGTTTTCCGCTTGGTCCTAGAGCTCAACCAGTGTCAATTTAATATAGTGTAATGTTGTTTTTGGATGGTAAAAAGTGCAGGGGTCAAACCTTGACTTTGGAAAACGTGTGTGTGTGTGTGTGTGTGTGTGTGTGTGTGTGTGTGGGGGGGGGGGCATGTCCCCCCTGTCCCCCCCAAAATTACATCCATGAGTTCAAGTGATCAGAAGCTGTTTGCTTGTCATGCATGAAGTGTTGGCGTACCAGCATGGGACCAGGAAACCACCAAAGCTATAGCCTTAAAATAGATTCTTAATAAACCCATACATACGACACATATGATGCCCAAAGAGAGTAATTATAATATTTTGGACAAAATAGAAACAGTGGAGATAAAGTTCAGACCAAGAATATCTCATAGTGAATTTCTGTTTGCTCTACATAAAGGTTGATTTGAGTCAAGATGTTTTCTGACCATTCTTATGTTGTTCTGAACATTGTGGAAATGTCACCAACCACCGTAATAACACACCCTGTAAAGACGCCACATGAACGCGATTATCAAATTTAAAGGATGCTTGGACAGATGGACGGGTGGACGATAGGACCATTTTAGGGAAATTTATGACAAGCTGACGTTGTCAAATAGCAGTCCAACCCTCCTCAAGAATTAGGAGAAAGAATTTCAACAAGTATCTGTTATTTTTAATATTTTCATCAGTAAACACAAAAATATTTTTGCAAAATATTTTCATGTTGTAAATTATTTATAATCTGAATCCTTGGAAACAAAATTACTTGAAGGATGTGTAATAAACAATAACACATTTTGTTTCTCATTCTATGACAGAAATCACACCTTTAACTGGGATTTTAAATCAGAGTTCTGCAGTTGTTTTGACGTTTAAGCTTGGAGAAATCCTGTCATCCTCCTGCAGAGGTTGCCTTTTTTGACGTATAGTGCAAAAATTGTAAAACGCAAAAGCGTACAGGAGTGAATTCAGACATTTACAACTGCTACTGCTACAGAAATCCTCCTGGTGGACATGTACATTTTCAAAAGGTTCTCGTTTCTCAGACAAACACCTGCCACTCCTGCCAAATTTATAGTAAAACGGTAAAATGGCCTGTATTTGATATAGCGCCTTCTAGAGTCCTGGACCCCCCCCCCCCCCCCCCCCTAGAGTCCTGGAACCCCCCAAGGTGCTTTACAACACAATCAGTCATTCACCCATTCACACACACATTCACAAGCTGGTGGGGATGAGCTACAATGTAGCCACAGCTGCTCTGGGGCGCACTGACAGAGGCGAGGCTGCCGAGCACTGGCGCCACCGGTCCCTCTGACCACCACCAGCAGGCAACGTGGGTTAAGGCCTAGTCCACACGTAGCCGGGTTTTTTTGAAAACGAATATCCGCCCCTCCAAAAACTTGCATCCACACCACCTCGTTTTAAAAAAAAACTCTGTCCACACGTACCCGGATAAATACGTTGTTAAGGACATGCCAGACCTGTAGGCGGCAGTACTTCCCCCGTTCTTAACCTCGTCCTTCGTCTGTGGTCTTCCGCAAGGAGCAGTAATTCCTCTTGCAAAAACAAACGAGCAAAAAGCGCTTGGACAATTGATAAAGCGAGCGCAGCTCTGAGGGCATCTATGCTGTCGGCTAGTGTAAACACAGGTCGCACACGTGATGTCAGCATTTTTTTTGTCGTGGAAAGTGGCGCTGCGGACCTTAAAACTCCGGTTTTGTCTGTCCACACGCAGACACCCAAAACGGAGAAAACGCAGATCTTCACTTTGGCCGGAGTTTTTAAAAAGATCCGTTTTCGTGTGAAAAAACTCCGTTTTCGTGTGGATGACAGGCCAAAACGCAGAAAAATATCTACGTTTTGGCAGATCCCCGGCTACGTGTGGACAGGGCCTCAGTGTCTTGCCCAAGGACACAACAACAGCGACAGACTGAGTGGGGCTTGAACCTGTAACCTTCCGATTACGGGGCGAGCACTTAACTCCTGTGCCACCGTCGCCCACAGTAGTAAAATATGGAATCTACTAGCCTGGCCAGACTCCTCCTCTGTTTGATTCTTTCTCTGTGCAGAATTAGACAGAGGAGTCTGGCAGGGCGGACTAGGAATCCACAATGATGCTGGTAACCAGTTGGGTTGTTTGGGGATAGTTGAAGACTCTTAAAAAAGAACAATCAGAAACAAAAGTAATGTTCGAGGTTTAAAACAAGCCAAACAAGCTGAAAGTGTCTGCATGACACACCAAAATGAAATTAAATTATCTGACAAATAAATAATAATATAGAATTCATGTTGCATGTTTGCAATTTTTCTATGATCTTTGTAAAAGCTAATACAGAAAGAAATGTTTATAAATCATTAATAATATTAGAGACAAGCTGCAAGTACAATATTAAAAAACATATCATTCCTTTACAAATTACAACCCTACAGTCGGGGTGTCGTCCGGAGTTTGGAGAATTCTTCGTTTCTGCTGAATTGGTTTCCTTTTGTGGCAAAAGGTTAAATAATGATGAGAGGTAAAGGTGTAGAGGAATGGATTCAGGCATTTGTTGAAAAATGTCACTGCTGCAACAATGTCCCATGTGTACTTGTACAATTTTAACATCCTTTCATTTTTGAGGCTTATGGCTGCCACACCCAGCACAGCTGTCACGTGATACGGAGTCCACAAAACAAAAAAGCTCACAATGATGCTGGAAATCAGTTTGGAAGTCTGTGGATTGTTGAAAAAGGTCGCCTGGGTGACCATCCTCTTCAGGCGGATGTATGAAAATGCCACAATACTAAATGAAGCAAATAATGTCAACGTCTCTGACATCAGCACGGCCGACCACTGGGCATCAGAAGCATACTGAGCTCAGCAGTCTACCCGCTGCTGATCCGGTACCAGCTGCTGAAACACCAAATTAGGAATGGACAGGATCAATGCAACCAGCCAGAGCAGAAGCAACACTAGTCTTGGTCGTACCTGTTGATATTTCTGCTGGTGCACGACCATCAGGTAGCGCTGAACGCTAAGTCCGGTTACAGTCAGCATGCTGCCATAAACACTGCTGTATCCAAAATACACCAAAACTTTACAGGATGCCAGGCCGGACGGCCAGCCGTAGAGTAAAGCATGAATCCACATAGGAATGGTCAGCAAACCAAGGAGGTCAGAGACGGCCAGATTCAACAGTAAACTCTGGCTCAGGCCAGACATACGCTGCCAGTTTGGCCTGAGAACAATTGCAGCGATGTTTCCAGGAACTCCAGTAATGAAGCAGAGGGACAAAACCACGACAGGGACCAGAACGTTGGAGGACCCGTCCGGATGGGTTTGAAGTCCTGAAAAGGATGAGAAGTTTGAAGTTCCCTCAGTGGAATTAAGCAGATCCATCGTGCGTCTTGCTGCTGACATTGTGCACTGATGGTGGTGAATGTGTAGCCCACACATATGTTACAGGGGAAGTGATGTCATGAGGTTTTTGGGTTTTGTTTTCTCAAACAGGAAATTTAAAAATAAAGGTGCTGATGCAAAGTAAGTGAGCTATTGTTAATACTTTACTGTTCTATAACAGGTTGCATTGACTTGAGTACTTTACAGTCAGCATTGCTTGTAAAAACTCTATTGGTAGATGCCCTCCTGGTAGCGTGCACGTTAGAAACATGACTTTGCTGGTCTGGAGCATCCAGGTGTGTGTCGACACACAGAAACAACTGATGCTGCTCTTTTATTTAAAACAGGAAAAATGTCATTTGCTAACAACTGGAGTTCATAATTTTACAGCGAGAAAGATCATTCACAATTAGACCGTCACAGTTTGCCTTTGATTGCCTGACTGGATCACCTGACCACCCTACTATTAATTCCTAAGTCACTCAGTGCTGAGTTGTCTGACCTTAAAGGTGTGGTTCACTCGTTTAATCAATGCATTTGTAGTGGTTTCTAGTAGGATTCAATGCCTTGTAAGTTGTACTCTGGGTACAAAAAGCGCTGGTGCATCTACTTCAGGATCTAGAAAATTGCCAGAGCAGAGGAGAGCTTCAGACGGCAATGTGAACGTGCCAGTGACTCATTTTGCTCTGCAACATTGATGTTTTATCTCCACAAACAACACAAGCCTGGAGGAGTTCTGCTGTGTGGTGGAGTTGATGATGCTAATGGGGTTGTCTGTGGTGTGTTACTGAATATAACACAACTTCACCACAAGATGGAAGAAAAAGTCATTAAACCGGCAGAACGGAGGCCTGAAGCCCGACCCTTTCACCGGCTCAAAGAGAGTGAAATCTACGCGGCCGCGTTGGTATTAGACGGACAAAACTCGTGTTTTACTCCGCCTGAAGGCCACGTAGTAAAATGTCGATTCCACACACCGGAGTGATTTACAAGAACCGAAGTGATTTACAAGAACCACCGCCAAAATCCAAAGAGGATTTTAGGATGCAGAAGCACTGCGAGAGAACGGTTTAACTGCTTATCGGGGCGCGTAACCCGAGCGTTAACCTATTTAGCTACTTAGCTCTTCGGCTAAGCTTGGTAGTGTCTGGTGCGACCAGACTGAAATTTGCCCGATTAACCAAACGTTCCTTAGCAACGAGGTAATTTGGGACTTTATTGACTGCACTCTGGTGTGCAGATGTGGTCTGCGGTCTCTAACCACTGCTTAAAGCTGATAATATTAGCGAGGTATGCTAACTATTATGCTAGCGCGGTTACCGGAAAATAAACAACGCGGGGATCAGCATATCAACTGTTAAAGATTGTCCCACAAAGTTGCCAATGTTGATTGCTATTTCCTGTTTGTCAATTTCAAAATCATTAGTTTAATTTGAAGAATTAAAACTTTTAATTGTCAAACTTGTTTCTTCATTGAATTGAAACACAGACCCACGGATATTATCGACAGTTTATCGATGAAAACAACCTTTGAGTCTTCTTAAAACTATACAATTTGGTTATTAATTTAATAAAATTAATATCACAAATTATCATGTAGAATGGTTCCTCTTTCATAAAAGAGCATAAACCACAACGCTACAGTTTGACCAGCCAGCCAGTTCTACAGTTTGGCGAGCCTATCCAGACTTCTATATCTGCGATATATCCACTTTAAAAAGTCTGCCCTGTTCACCGTTCTCTTGAGCCACAACAGAAAAGAGAACAAGTCCAAACAGACTCCGCCATCAAAATGGCCACCATCAGAAAAATATTCAGGTCCATTACTGATGTGCTTTTACTTCTCAAACCACCGATGTTGGGTTAGATGAGACAAAAGCAAAAATCCAGAGCAGAACCAGAAGCAGTGTTTTATTTAGCTGATGACATTCCAGCTGATGCACCACCACCAAGTATCGTTGGAGGCTTAAATATTTTGGTTTTTCGCTCTTTTTCTGGCTGCAGATAGATGAATAGAATAGAAAATCCCTTTATTGTTCCTCAGTGGGGAAAGCTAGACGTCACAGCAGCGATGACACTTACTACAGGAGAAAAAAGGAGAATTAAAAAAAAAGAATAAACAACAAGAAAACGTAAATCCTGAATAGATTTAAAAAATGCTGAATATACCACAAGTAATGAATACCACTGATGCGTTTATTTAAAATGGACTTGCTCGTGCGAAATTTGGTTATTCCAAATTCATAATGCAAAAATAAGTTTGTTTCCAAATTAAAATGTTCAAAATTGCATGTATGTTGATAAAATGTGCAAATTTGCCGTCACTTTTTCAAAAAATATTAAGTTCGGCCCACGACTTCGTCCCAGATTTTCAATTCGGCTCTGTGTGAATTTGAGTTTCACACCCCTGGTTTAAAGGAAAATTTTCTGCTGCTGCAAAAGAAACAATATTGTAACCCCAAAGAACCTGTGGTGAGACCGGTGACTCAGCCCATTTCAAGCAGCTGCAAAATTGCATCTTGAATCTTAAATTTCAAGTTTGATCGCCCCAAGTAACATCCTAAATACATACATATCTCAAAAAATATTTTACTCCTTGGATTTATTATTTTTTTCAGCACTTGCTGTATTTATTAGTTGTTTAGTCCCATCTGCAGCTTTTTGATTTAGACAAAGACTCTAACATTTATATCTGAGAATCAGAATTATTTTATTTTCTTTGATTATTTTTTTCAAAGGTTGCTTTTTTGGCAAATCGTGCAAAAAGTGTAATGAGCAAATGCATGTAGGCAGGGCTGCCAACTCTCACACACTGAGCGTGAGACACAAGCATTTGACCCTCTTCACATGCCACACCTCCATTCTCCCACGCTAAACCAGTGCCTGCGCTCCCCAAACATACATAACACACAGTGTGTAAGGCTTATGAAAATAACAAGATTATATTAATTATAGCATTAGCTACTGAACAACATGTACACAAACAACACTTAAGTAATAATTGAACTGGCGTTATTTCACACACATAATCCCATCTGTATAATCCAAGCCGATTACATTAATTATAATTAAAAGTTCAGAATTTCCTGTCAGAAATCTGAGAAAAAAGTAAGAAGTCTCTTTCTTTTCTTTTCTTTCTAACCCTCCTCTGTACAGAGTAGAAATAAATAAAAAAATGTAGAGCACAAAAAGTCTCAATATTAATACCCCCCCCCCCCCCACCACCCCACCCCAGTGGCGTGTCCAGATCTTTTAAAATGGGGTGGCCCAGGTGAGGCACAGCTTTGTGCATGGGTGGCACCACTGGTTATTCTTTTTTGGTTTACCCCCGAGCCTTTTGTGGACAATGAAAAGCCTATTTTAAAGTAAATTAGTGTGGTGGCACCTGGGGTGGCCAATCAGATTCCAAGGGTGGCATGTACTACCCCAGGCCACTCCCTGGACCCCCCCCCCCCCCCCCCCGCTCTAAACGGTCAGCGAATTGTCCGCTCCCAACCCCATGACCCCGTCTCACTCTTTGAAATGTTCAAAGGTTGGCAGCCTTGTACTGGAGTGGATCCAGGCAGCTATTTACATATGTCAGCGATACGGAAATCCTCCTTGTTAATACGTGGAACTTGTCCAGGCTTTCATTTCCGAGGCAGACACCTGCCACGTCCGCTAAGTTTAGGGGGAAATATGGAGCCCACAAGACAAACAAGCTCACAATGATGCTGGTAACCAGCCGAGTCGTCTGTGGATGGTTGAAAAAGACTGCCTGGTTCACTGTCCTCTTGAGCCAAAGGTACAAAAACACCACAACAGAAAAGGAATCAAATCCAAACACGTTTTGGGCAACAGAAAAATATTTAGGCTTGCTTTCTCTCCATTGCTGATGTGTTTTGACGTCTTGAGTCTCCATACCAGTTATATATACATACCTGAAATATGACATAGCACCCCTACAGGACTGTGAGGTAGGCCTGCTTATTGGCTACAACTGCTCACAAGCCTTTCTACCAAGGGAAGTTGTGTCTGGTCAAGACAATGAGCCCTTTGCTCAACGCACAGATCTTGGATGGAGCATTGTTGGTCATAGCAATCCCTGTGTCAAGTATGGAGATGCAATAGGAGTTAGTCATCGTATAGTTGTCCGTCAAGTGAAACCAAAGGTTGACTCTGCTCTCAATCTAAAGGGTGAAGTTCACTATGTGAACAGATCAAAGGTTAAAGAAAGGAAATCCAACTTGTTCTCAGGACCAACATTTCTCTGGCAAAATGAACTACCTGCTTCTAAATACAAGATAGAAGTACAAGATGATGATCCTGAACTCCGCAGGGCTTCAGTGTTTAACACAAAGGCAAAGGGGAGCAGATCACGTTTAGAGCGCTTTGAGAAGTTCTCTGACTGGTCAAGATTAGTGAAAGCTGTTGCCAGATTGAAGAGACGAGTCGCGGAACACAAAAGGTTGAAACAAAGAACCAATGAGGGAACAAGCTTGGAGGAAAGAAAAGACGCAGAAATTGCTATTGTCAAGCAGGTTCAAAGGGAAGCATTTCCAGATGAGATACAAAGCTTAAAGGCAAAGGAAGGTGTGGTTAAAACCAAGTACATCAAGCTGAAAGGGTTAAATCCCACCTTGGATGAAGATGGAGTTTTGAGAGTAGGAGGACGTTTAAATCAATCAGCGTTACATCCTCACATAAAACATCCAGTAATACTACCAAAGAACAGCCATATATCCTCTCTGCTTGTCAAGCATTTTCATGAAAGGATTCATCATCAGGGACGTGGAATGACCGTAAATGAACTCAGAGCAAATGGATGGTGGATCCTAGGAAGCAGTGGCATTGTATCATCACACATCTTTAAATGTGTTAAGTGTCGAAAGTACCGAAGATGTACTGAAACCCAAAAGATGGGTGACTTACCTCAAGACAGAATGGAAACAATGCCTCCATTCACCTACACTGGCATGGATTGCTTTGGACCAATCTATGTAAAAGAGGGAAGTAAAGAGGTTAAAAGGTATG